AAGGAGTGATTTGGGGTGAATTTGTCATCTTAAACTCCAAGTTTTAATTCACTGTGCAAGTCATGTTGATTTATTGCAATACGACTGTTTCATGTCAGGTGCAATTCCACAACACAGCCGTACACTGGCCAAGCGTTCGGGGAACCTTAGGGCTCTTTGAACCTTAGAACCAGGCACTTTGAACCTTAGGACAAGGCACTTGGAACCTTAAGGCACTTGGAACCTTAGGGCACTTTCAACCATAACAACTTATTAACTATAATTTATCAATTGGCAAATTTGTTACAATTTATAGAGCTCCTGGAAATCGAATCTTATGCTGTAACACTTGTTTTGGGAGTATAAATTGAGATTCAGGTGTTGAAATACAAAACTATTGTAATAGTTTTTGTAAACAAGTTTTGTAACACGTTCATGAAACCAAGCGGAATTTGACTCTTATTTTGATTCTTTCTGTCTTTATTGCCCTTGGCGTCCTTAAATCTAATCATTTGAGCAGACCTCCTTAATAGCGTACTCGCTACAATAAGATCAACAAGATAAGAACGGGGATAGAACTCGAAAATAGTAGGCCTACGGGAGAGCAACATTGTAAAAGGCGTTGAACCATTTATTAATGCACACAATTTACCCGACAAAAGGTTTCGAGGCTGCATTTTGGTATGATTTTCTGCTCTGAAGGCATGATGCCAAAAACCGGAGAGGGACGAAAATGGGCCTCTACAAGCTCGCTGACTAGGCATAAATATCTAAAATCACGCCATGTTTCAAAGGTTCAAAAACAGAAGTGTTTACGGCATCATCCTTTGACAAAATGATAGGTCAGTCTTTGCTATCTTGTCGGGATCATTATCAAAACGAAGATATGTGCATCGTAGTAACAGTTAAGTATGTTTACTAAAAGGGAGTGCAGCAGATTTACATACAATCCATCGTAGATGGGCATGGGATGCCAGTACATGGACTACGCCTAGTCTGCTGCTTTGCGTGGTGCGTTTTTCTGCATTACCCAAATATCGGAATATTTTGTGGGCAATAATTCCAAACGTACATTACTGTTAATCAGGTCAAACTGCTATGTGTCACTCCCAGCAGAAGGCGTTAACAGTAAAAGCGACTGACTGTCCACGAACGGACATCGTTGAGCAGTTTTACCATATCACTTAATGTTCCGCAATTTTTCTTCAGTTTCAAATTATTTTATACCAGTCTTCGATTTTTTTTACATCATTCTGCGAGTTTAAACTCGACACAAAATTGAACTCAATAGAACTCAAAGTTCGGGCGATATCTATCATAGATTTGATTGACTTCAGAAGGATTAATGTCATCTTGCCTTGGACCTGTTCCCTCCTTAATTACATACTACTCAGGCTCATGACTTCTACCAATATATAAATCTTATTCGAAAGTTCATCAGAACACTTGTCACCATGCAGTACGTTCGCTAATCACATCTCGCCTAGACTACTGCAATTCTCTTTTATACGGCATAAGTCAAGGAGACAGAAACAGGTTACAAAAACTTCAGAACCGTGCAGCCAGACTCATTCTCTGTGTAAGCCGCTCTACTGAGGCCTCACCGCTCCTGCATCAATTACATTGGCTGCCGATTGAATCACGTATTCTTTTCAAATTAATTCTATACGTTTACAAAACACAACACTGTCTGGCTCCTTCCTACCTGACCGATTTACTCTCTTTGTATCAATCAGGTAGGGCGGGGCTTAGGTCTTTAACAGACACTTCCCGATTACATGTTCCTATCAACACTAAACCACAGGTGACAAAGCTTTCTCGATTGCTGGCCCCAGGGAGTGGAACAAGATCCCTCAACACATCCGACTTGCATCGTCAATCATCACCTTCAAGAAATCGCTCAAAACACATCTGTTTCTTTAAATCAATTCACCTTAATCCCTCTCATTATCCCCTGGTTTCCTTAAGTTATTCTTAAATTAATTTTTATGTTTTGTTTTTTGTTTTTGCCTTGTTTATTTGTAGATTTGTAGTTTTGTAGTTTTGTACAGCGCTTTGATCTTTGTTAAAAGTGCATTATAAATGCTCCATTTATTATTATTATTACCAGGGTAGTTGGCAAAAGAAAAGAGAGTCGGCATCGGAATCAGTAAGAATTCGAATAGATTTCTATTGCATTTCAATTGATCAAGATGTTACCAATCAACCTTGGAGAATGCTTGATTTGTCTATACATATAATAATCCTATAATACTTTGTCAATGGCGCCGATTGATTTCTAGTCGGTTCGGGAATATCACTTAAAGTACTATACTTCCTTAAGGAATGTGCCCGAAAAGAATTTGCTAACAGACGAGCGTAGTTTTAGTTCAAAACTACCCAAACTGCGCATGCGCACAAACTAAGTGAGGGGGGATGAACATACGTGCATGATGCTGCCATTCGTGCACATGGGCCAGTTTAAGCACTTTCTGGGTTTATTTTTTTTTTAAATATCGTTTGATCATTTTTTACAGGTAGTTATTTCAATTCCCTAAACAACAGACCATAATATATGGAATATACTTTACTTCATTTGCCTGACCGGTTTAAAAAAAACAGTTGCAGCATTCAGAGGTTCGTTATAGAGCTAGCTGGGCCTGTTTAGAGCTTCCGTTACACTTCAGTGGTTGTAAGTCAGCACGAGTTTGCCTTTGGGCATGTGTGTGTCGACTGCGGCCGACACGTCGGGGCAATCCGGCTCTGTCTAGGCCCTTGTTCTACTTCAGCAACATTCCTGTTTTTTTTAACTTAAAGATCGAAGAGTTTAAATAGTAATCATTTGCTTTTGACTTTAAAAACTCCGTTGATTGGAAAACTTCAAAAAGATAAACCCATCCTCCGGTGTCCCGCCTGTCCATGTACAATCCATTTGAAACAAGACCACGTCAGGTGTAGTCTGTGCTACCTTGCACTGGTTCATTACCGAGCTACAGTCAAGTGTGTTTACCAATGGGGCGCGTACCTGATTTATATACAATCCATCGCAGTAGGGCATTGAAGGCCAGTACGTGGCTATCTTCTAGTTGTTTTTTCGTTTCTCTGAGCAAAACTTCACACGTACACAGGGAATGTGTAATTATATTTTGAATAGTTCGCCTGTGAGATTACAGCAGGAAATCAAACTGGATACTGTATAGCCTTTCCGTGTTCTTGAATTGAGTGTTTGGCATGATGCTTCGTCTTCAGAAATTCCTCTAATTTCTGCGATCCTTCTAGCTGGATTTTAAAGTGGGCTGCCTTGTCTACTATTTGGGAAAGTATGGGACATCTGTGGCGAGGGGATGTGCTTGACTACATTCACCGGGCCAGAGCTCCCCTGCAGCCACTGCGTACACCGCCATCTTTTTCTCGAAAAAAATATTGGTTAAAGTGGTCAGAAATTGCGTCAGATTGCATTAGAGAGCATCTAGAATTAACCATAAGCGGACCCTGAACCACACGCCGTAAATTTTGGATCCACCTAGGAGAACAATGTTTTTTGCCCCCCCCCCCACCTAAAAAAAAATTGTGTTCTAGATCTGCCACGAACCTACACGCACCTCTTCAGCCGTGAATACAGAATACTCGTCACCCAAGTGATGTTGGGCAACAAAATTCAGCAGTTTTGTTCCTTCTGCTGTGCCTACTTCCTTTCTTATTTTTTATTTTTTTATTTTTTTACTGTACGGTACCTTCGATGTAAAATCAAAATCTAAAACTGTTCACTGCTGCTTTGCGTGGTGCGTTTTCTGCATTACCCAAATATCGGGACATTTGCTAGGCAATAATTCCAAACGTACATTACTGTTAATCGGGTCAAACTGCTGTGCGTCACTCCCAGCAGAAGGCGTTAACAGTAAAAGCGAGTGACTGTCCATAAACGGACATCGTTGAGCAGTTTTATCATATTACTTAATGTTCCGCAATTTTTTTTCAGCCTCAAATTATTTGATATTAATCCTCGATTTTTGTTGACATTATTCTGCGAGTTTAAACTCGACACAAATGAACAATAGAACTCAACGTTCGGGCGATATCTATCATAGATTTGATTGACTACAGAAGGATTAATGTCATCTTGCCTGGGACCCGTTCCCTCCTCCATTACATACTACTCAGGCTCATTACTTCTTCCAGGGTAGTTGGCAAAAGAACAAGAGAGTAGGCATCGAAATCAGCAAGAATTCTAATAGATTGCTATGGCATGTGGCATCTATTGATCAAGATGTTTCCAAACTACGTTAGAGAATTTTGAGTGATACTTCACTTGCTTATAACTAAAACAACAGTGTGGCAGAGAGGAGCTGTTATAAGTGATATAACTTATAATCCTATAATACTTTGTCAACAGCGCCGATTGAATTCGAGACGGTTCGAGAATATCACTTAAAGTACTGTTTTCCCTATAGGAATTTGGCCAAAAAGAATTTGCTTACAGACGAGCTCAAGCTGGCCCATGCATGCCAATGCACTTGTGCACCACTTAGTTTTTTCCTGCATGCGTACGGGACCAAGATAGTGTAAAATCGTACTGAAGGACGACCTAAACTCATAAAAATTTCTGAAAACATTAAATATGATTTTTACAATCATGTTATTGTCCAAATGTAAATATTATTCTGGGGGAAAAAAGAGATTTTAAGAGAAACAAATCTTTTCCCCTAAATATTTCTCCAGTTTTTTTTTTTTGCTTTCTTTTATAGGGGATGGGGACAAAAATAGCCGCCATGTGAAATTGTGTACACATGTTAATCTACCGGAAGTCGCATTAAAATGAGGGTTAAATGATAATTATTTCAATCTTATTATCAAAGGATTTGTTTGATCTTTGACTCTTTCCGGATACTCAAAAGTTCAGGGAAATTGTGCAACAGCATTAAAGACTAGTGACTGTGACATGAGACGCTGAATATAGTTTCCATATGAATACTTCGTTGATCTCGTTCTATTTTAGAATAAGGCATTCATAAAACTACACGATTTCTCCCCTATTTTCACAGTCATACCAAAGACGTAAAACAGAAACTGCTGGTCTTTGTCCGGACTCCCTCCCCACATAGGCCCAAGACACTTTATTTCGAACTCCATCCCGAGACATCCGTCTCATCTCTCAAAGAGGTAATCCAGAAGAAGATCGGTGTGGAGGCACGATATCAGCGTCTGTACATCAGGGAAATCTTCCAGGTAGGTATACTGTCATTGATAATACCGGTACGGATAAGTCGTTTAATTTGAAATGTCAACACCTAGATTTTCGCATTGCGGTATTTTAGAAAGGGTAAGGTAGAATGCATGATCTCGTATTATTTTCATGTTTTAAACACTATTTTGAAAAAAAATTACAACCCCTCCTTCCACACTATGAAAGGCTTCAACGAACGTAATTTGCTGGAAGTTGGAATGATTCACATCTTATCTCCTCCCTGTTTCTCCTGATTATGTAATTTACTTTCTTACATTATTCACTTTTTTAGCTCTGTGACTTGCTCACACTTGAGGAGAATGGTGTCGACAAGAACGAAATCATCTCTCTCCGGCTGTCAATAGAAGACCCAAAAGGTAAATGATAGAGGTTAAGGAATAAATGTTCAAGTAAATAAACAATCTGAATGTTAACTATTAATAATGAACCAGAGTCGCTTTTTGTTGTAGCTGACGTTAATAAGTTAATAACTTGTAAGTTATAAGTAAAAATGTTTTACAGAAGTTAAAAGTTAATGTTTTTGGCAGATAAAGCTAACATTGATGATGAGTACCTCAAGGACTTGTCATCGAAAATTGAATCGTCGTGGAAGGAACTTGCCAAACACCTAGGATTTGAAGAAGCGGAAATTGCAAACATCCAAACCACCAACGAAGGCAGCACCGAAGAGAGCCGTCACATGCTACTCACTTGGTGGGAAAAGACGACAGATCGCGACGAAGCAGCTAAGAAGCTGAGACGAGCATTGGAGGCCATCAGGCTGACTGATTTGGCCCAAAATGTACCGGGTGAGCTAAATTAATGTAAACAAGCATTTTCTAATATTCAGAAGTGATTTCCGACTGAACTCAAATTGAGACGCTGTATTTTTTAGGACAAAAAATATTGGTATGGTACCCTACTCTCACACAGAGCTCTTCAAATAAATAATTAGGCCTGAGCAATTAAGAACGGCCTCGTTGATTGTAAAACAAAACAGTCATGATAGTTTAAAAATAATTGGTAAACAATACAATTATGATGCACTCTGTTTTCCTTCTTACATCAGTAACGAACGAATCGAGTGACGAAGCAGCTGGACCCGAGCCAGAAAGGCGTCAAGATGCAGGAGTTGACGAGGAAAACAAACAAAACGGGGCGGCATCAACAGACGAAGAAAATGTGAAAAACGACGAAGTCCCAAACGGTAAATGACCACATTCGGAAAATAATTATGTTCAAGTCAACAAACTACCCCCTTTAGTTGCATGAGCTGGTTATAAAAAACAAAAGTCTCTTTTTGTTGCGGCTGTAGTTTATATTATAAGTTAACTGCTATGATACCGTGTGGACGCAATAGCACATGCTTCACCGAAGGCACTCTTCAAAATTCTTTTGGCAGACAAAGCCGCCATTGACGATGAGTACCTCAAGGGCTTGTCCCCGAAAATTGAGTCATCATGGAAGGAATTGGCCAAACACCTAGGATTCGCAGAAGCGGAAATTGCAGACATCCAAACCACAAACAAAGGCAGCATTGCAGATAGCTGTCACATGCTACTCACTTGGTGGGAAAAGACGACAGATCGCGACGAAGCAGCTCAGAAGCTGAGACGAGCATTGGAGGCCATCGGGCTGACTGATTTTGCCCAAAATGTACTGGGTGAGCTAAAAGTGAAAACTTTACGCTGTATATTTCAGGACACAGAAAAGAATTGATGAGGTTCCACACGCTCTTTTTTGTACAGCAATGAAGCTATTACAAAAAAAACCTTGTTATTTTTTTTACAAATTTAAAATGTTATTAAAAATCATCGAAAAGCCATCTGTAAACAATTCTATGCACTCCGTTTTCCTTTTTGCATAAGTAACGAGCGAATCGAGAGACGAAGCAGCTGGACCCGAGCCAGAAGGACGTCAAGATGCAGGAGTCGACGAGGAGAGCAAACAAAATGGGGCGGCATCAACCGAAGAAGAGAAACTGAAAAAAGAACCAGTTGGTGATCAAGACAAACCTGGACTTATCAGGTAACTTACGATTAAACGCTGCTTTTCGTACTGCATCTCGTGTTTGAAGAATTTTACTTAAGCATCAAATTTCGGGTTTTTTGTTTTTTTGTTTTGAGATAAATATAACTTCCTTGGAGAACAAAATGTCCCCACTTAAATAATGCCGTAGAATTATTATACTGTTATGGTCTTTACCTTTATTCTTTACCTAAATATGCCAATTCCAACAATTACAAAGTCTTACCATCAGAACTTTTTTCTGACATTCGCAGATATCTGCAGGTCTTCATCAGAATTCACTGCTCACATAGACCGAAGATAATGTGCTTGCAAGTGGATCCAGAGACATCTGTCTTGCTCTTAAAAGTGATAATAAGCGAGAAAATTGGTGTGCCACCTCAAAAACATCGACTGTTCATCCGAAGAAACTTTCGTAACTTTGAGGTAAAATTGGCTCCATATCTTTCAAAGTAAACATGTTAAATATACCAACTAGCACTCCATTGAAATAAACGGCCTTGTGAGTTGTGTGACAATCTCTTTTGATTCTAATGACATTAGTCGTGTACAGATAGTGCTGCTTTTGATGTCGTCACAGTGGAGTTTACGCACTTAAGTTCAAGAAATTTAATAGTTGTTGGTTTTACCCCCACCGATTTAATGCACCCGTCAAAAAAAATACATATATATTTAGTTATTGTACCAGCATAGTGGAACCTGAAACCCCAAACTGTCGTTTAAACCTTTAAACCTTTAAACCTCGAAAAACGTGTCATTTAAGAATTTTCTTTCTTTTGCCAGCTCCATAACTTGCTGACACTTCACGACTGTGGAATTCATCAGGACGAGAACATCTCACTCCGTCTGTGTACTGATGGCCTACTGGGTGGTGGACACAAAGGTAAATACTTAAGGGAAACTTTACCTTTCAAGATGGAGAAAAACTGTGGGCGTTTAGCCCTCATAATATAGATGGGAATGCCACATCCGATCCTAGATCCTCCAACTAGATTAATGTCACGGGAAAAGAGCGGTAAAAACGGTAGATGCTCTATGTATTAGCGGTAGTACATGTATTTGGATGTACATTAATGTCACCACCTCCTTTTCCGATGTTATTCAATAAAGACCAAAAACAAGAATAAGCAAATACTTTTTTGAAAATTTCAAACTAAAAGGCATCTATTGCATTGTAGTAACGAAGGGAATCAAGCAGAATGAGACTACATCATTAGAGGATCAGAGACGGGGACAACAGGGAGTTGTTCATCGACACAAATCTCAACCACCGGTACAAGTTGGAGGGACTGGGACAGAAAGCAGATCAGGTAAATAATTACACAGAATCCCATATAATATGTTACGTTTCTCTCACTTGCTATTTTCATTTGATTGTTTGTCCCTTCTATTATCAAGAACCGAATCAAGTTCAAGATGCACTTTTTTCGTGCCCTTCACCAAGTTTTCTCTTTCGCTCCCAACAAGTGTTAAAGGTTATCACTTTAAGATAAAAACTACTTTATTTCTGGTTTTTGAAGGCTGCAAACCTCCGATTCTGAGTTTCTTTTCAGCGCATAGATATCCGGTTAGCAAGTAGACTTGTTTGCAGTACTTAAATATGGAGGGAAATAATTTTTTTTCTTCTTCAGGCTAGTTAAATAAAAATTATGTTAATATGCGTGCACAAAACATTTCGTGTTGCTGAATTAACATGGCATGTGATTTGAAAATAAGTTTATTGTTCAATTTCCATAAAAAAAAATTGTGCTCGAGCTAGTCTTACTGATAAATGACATAAATTAAACGTTGTTCTGATTTAAGCCTCCGGAGGATTTCTTAAGGGAAGATAACATTCGACAATTATTCCCTGACTGACTGACGCATGCGATAATTGACTATACTTTAAATAATTATGTAAACTAATCATTATGAGTGTTTCTTTGTTCGATATGTTTAAAAGTAGAAAGTAAAAGTAAACATAATTTTGTTATTGGTGGAATAATAGAAATTTGAAAATCTAATAAACTAGAAAATCTGTAATACATGATAATAAGCACCGACAGGACATCTTTAATCATTCGGCAATAAAGAAACTGTGTGCAGACCAGCACGCGCGGTCTAAAACATGCAGTCCGACCATTAGGCCAAAAAAGGTCTCCGATTTCTGGTATGGAGCTTGCCCAAAAAGTGATGCAGCGACGCGGCTTTTCTTTTTTTACCTGATTTGTTTTGCTTCAAATGTCGGCTGATGACTGCAAATGGTGCCCGACTAAACTTAGTGCAAATATATGGGAGTCCAAAGAGGCCACACAAAGTTTATTCTTGACCATAACCCAATCTAAAAACACGTTATAAAATTGTGCAGCAGCAGGATTCCAGTCAAACCAGTGAGTTTGGCGGTTTTGAGACATCATCTTTCATTGAAAAAAAAAACACTTTTTTTCATTTTGCCGACGCGCATGGCTACGGCGACGCGCGCGCATACCAGAAACCGGAGACTTTTTTTTTGGCCTTAGGTCATGTTGTGAATGCCACACTTATGATTCAGTAACTGAAAGACGATGATCTTCACGCGGCGCAGGTATGAGTTGATGGAAAAAATATGGACACAGTCCCCAAGCCAGATATAGTCGTGTTTTGGGGGTCGGTTTGGGTCGATTTTCCTTGACTTTGGTCGGGTCGGTCAGTTTTTACGGGGCTCAAATCAATTTCGGTTAAAACGATAGATGCTCTATATATTAGCGGTAGTACAAGTATTTGGATGTCAATTAATGTCACCACCGCCTTTTCCGATGTTATTCAATAAAGACCAACACAGGAATAAGCAAATACCTCAGAAAATCAGATTTGTTTGCTTTTTCTTTGTGTTTAATTGTTCATTTCCTTTTGGAAAATTTCAAACTAAAAGGCATCTATTGCATTGTAGTAACGAAGAGGATCAAGCAGAAAGAGACTACATCATCTGAGGACCAGAGACAGGGACAACAGGGAGCTACTCATCGAGACAACCCTCAAACAGTGACTGGGACAGAAAGCAGATCAGGTAAATAATTACACAGAATCCAATGTAACGTTTTATCGTTCTCTCGTTTGCTCTTTTCATTTGATTGTTTGTCCTTTCTATTAACAAGAACCGAATCGAATTCAAGATGCACTTTTTTCGTGCCCTTCACCAAGTTTTCTCTTTCGCTCCCAGCAAGTGTTAAAGGTTATCAATTTAAGATAAAAACTACTTTATTTCTGGTTTTTGGCGGCCGCAAACCTCCGATTTTGGGTTTCTTTTCAGCCCATAGATATCCGGTTAGCGAGTAGACTTGTTTGCAGTACTTAAATGTGGAGGGAAATAATTCTTTTTTCTTCTTCAGGCTAGTCTAATAAAAATAATGTTAATATACGTGCACAAAACGTTTCGTGTTGCTAAATTAACATGGCATGTGATTTGAAATAAGTTTATTGTTCAATTTTCAAAGCCAAAAAAAATCGGCATTACTGTGGCATGTTATTAGGGTCAGAGGTCTCAATTCAAATTGTCCCAAAATTGTTCAGATTTCTCTCTATTTCCATGTGCTCGAGCTAGTCCTACTAAAAAATTACATAATTTAAACGTTGTTCTGATTCATGGCTCCATAAGATTTTTTAAGGAAATATAATATTCGAAAATTATTCCCTGACTGACTGACGCATGCGATAATTGACTATACTTTAAATAATTATGTGAACTAATCATTATGAGTGTTTCTTTGTTTGATTATTGAAAAGTGCATGGAAAGTAAAAGTAAACATAATTTTGTTATTGGTAGAATTATAGAAATTTGAAAATGTAATAACTTAGAAAATGTATAATACATGATTATAAGCACCGACAGGACATTTTTAATCATTCGGCAATAAAGAAATTGTTTGCAGTCTGCATGTTTGAAACATGCAGGCCGACCATTAGGTCATGTTGTGAATGCCTGCACGGTATGGTTCGGTAACTGAGAGACGATGATCTTCACACGGCGCTAGGCATGAGTTGATGGACAAAATACGGACACAGTTGCCCAAGCCAGATATAGTCGTGTTTTTTTCGGGTCGGTTTGGGCCGGTTTTCCTTGACTATGGTCGGGTCAGGTCGGGTCGATCAGTTTTTACGGGGCTCAAATCGGTTTCGGTTCGGATTCGGTTGATATCTTTAATGTTTTGGGTTGGTTTGGTTGACCCAACAAAGTCAAGGAACCCGACCCGATGCAGAATACTAGTACGCACGTCCCTTCATCTTGGGACGTCACAACCGGACTATCTTTAGGGATAATCAGAAAAAAAATGTACACGCTCTCGTTCTGAATACATTCTGACAATGAAAATTATGACTTCAAATTAAATTGAAGGCACTTTGTTCATGTTGCAATGTCATTGTATTCTTTTATAGGTACACTACCTGACGACAAATCCATATGGAATCAATCCAAGAAGATTGGAACACGTTGGGAAGAATTGGCCTTAAACCTGGATTTTTCTAAAGAAGATATTAATATAATAAAGGCTGATCATCCCAACAATACTGTAAGGCAGTGCTTTGAGATGTTAAGCGCATGGTGGAGAAAGCAGGACAATTACACAGAAGCAAGACGGACGTTGGAGAAGGCTCTGATTGATTCGGGCAGGCAAGAATTGGATCGGGGCATATCAGGTATGCTCAGTAACTGAACAAAGTTTGGCAATCCATACACTTACATTTAACAATGAAAAAATGAAGTTGGAAACACCAGATAAATCAAGCCATTAAAAAAGCCCTAAAGTATCCACGAAATGATTTTTTTTCTGACACAACGCCAAAGCAAATGTGCCTTTTTTAAAATAGTTAAATTTTCTATGTTTATTCGACAACTGAGGGCGCTGTTGCTGCGAAATCATTTCAGGAAGACGGTGTTTATGGGATTTGTGCACAAATGTAAACCCCAAACTCTGCTCATTGATACCCCCTTGAGAAGGTTTGCTCATTGGCTTACTGACAGGTAGGGCCTACTAACACAACAAATTAATGAATAAAAAAAAACATTTTTAACTGCAAAATATCCAAAACTTTTCGGGCACAAAGATTTTTGCCTGATGTAACATCACATTGTGCTCATAAGTATTAAAATTTGCATTAACATAAAATCCAAAAAAGGCACCATAATAGTCTTGAAAACAGCAATTTGGAAATTTAAAATACGGTTAACTGGGATACAAAGGTGCATTACAAAAATTACATTGCATGGGCCCTTTAAGCACTGCAACATCAAGGGGAAAATTAATGAACTTTTCTTTGCCCCCATTACCGCTGACAAATACACACCTGATGTCGTTTCTTTTCTTTTAACAGCCGCGACGGGAAGAGCGCAATCCAGTCCGAGTGATGCTGCTGATCAGTGCAGGAGTGAATTAAAAGAGCGTTATATCACCACAGGTAGCTACGTTCAGTTAATTCCCTGGGTCGATGACGACATGAAACATATCAGGGATATATATACAGAGTTACAATTAGAAAAGGGTGACCAGGATGACATAGAGGGCGATGTTGCGGAGTATGGGGACATTTTCCTCGTTAAAACAAAAGACGGGAATGTGATTAAACGCGGCATTTTGAGTGGATCACCTGGGATGGGGAAGTCAACCATTATTGACAAAATGGCGTACGACTGGGCTGTAGGTGGTGCACTCGGACAGTTTTCACTTTTGTTTGTCTTGAAAATGTCCGCTCTCAAAGAAACGTCGGAGCTTGTTGAGTCGGTGTTTTCTCAACTTTTAGCAGATGATACAGCTGTAGATAAGGGTGGCTTGGAAGCATTCATTAAAGACAATGGTAGTAGAGTGCTCATTCTGATAGATGGTTTTGATGAATTCACGACAACAAACCTCGAACCAGAGAAATTTGGGTCCATTCTAAGAATGCTTAATCGAAAATTTGGCAAAGAATGTTTTGTAGTTGTAACAACACGTCCCTCACACTTGAACAAATTGAAGAGCAAATCACTAATTGAGAAACCTTTCACCCATGTGAATGTTTTGGGATTTAGGAGGGAAGATATTGGGCAGTATGTGAGAAATTTTTTCCCTGCAAAGCTTGATGAGGCTGAGGGACTCCTTGATAGGATTCGGTCATCGAATGTCATGTCTGATTTAGCAAGGAGTCCCATGATACTCCTGCTAATGTGCTCATTATGGAGGGAAGAGGGAACACTACCTGATACTTTATCTAGATTGTTCAGTGAGGCAATCAGATACATATTTCAAAGAAAAATGTCTGAATTATCAGAAGAAGCAATATCGGAAGTGGTGATTGCAATCGGCAAAGTTGCTTTAGAAGGGCTTGTTTACCCAGAGCAAAGGCTTTCATTTCAAGAGAGAGAGTTTGAGAAGAGTGCGCTTGATAAAGCAATACAAGTGGGCATTCTCACTAGCCAGAGGGTCATTAAGTGGCGCGGCACGGACAATAACGTGCAGTTCATTCATAAGACACTTCAAGAGTATTGTGCAGCTATATACTGCCAGAGTCTTTTAAGGAACGGCGACGGTGAATTTCAGAAGATTCTTGATAAACTTGGCGATCCTATGCATTTTGAGTACATGCTGCGCTTCTGCTGCGGCGACAATGAAAAGTGCACACGGCATGTGTTGCGGATGCTGCATCAGAAGTTTCTGCAGGAATTGGCTTTAAATTGTTACTTTGAAAGTCAGTCAAAAGGTTTGTTCTCGGATTTCATCGAGTGGTTTTTCACTGAATCTATCGAGATATATTACAATAGCAAGGACTCATTGAACTCGTTTGTGTGGTTGCTGCAGCATGTTGCTGAGCACACAGGGCCCTCGGGAGTAGATTACCTCGCTAAAGTACGTCAAGTTACATTTAAGAAGGTTGACTTGTCAGGGTCGATTGAAATCGTACCGCAAGGTCTGACTACAATGACAAATCTTCAAACACTCCGTTTTAACGAATGTAATTTACACCCGCGCAATGTGGTAAACATTTCATCATCTGTTGGAAAGATGACAAATGTATCAGACCTTGACCTCTCAGGCAATAAGAACTTGGGTGGTCAGGCAGGAACGTGGGCGCCTAGTTTGCAGTCGATGATTCACCTGAAAAGGCTAGACATGAGAAAATGTGACATTAAAGGCAGCGATGTGAAATTTATCGCTGAATCAGTTAGTCGAATGCGGAAACTGGTGAATTGTGATTTCGATGGTTTGTTTCTGGCGTTGTGTGTTAATTCAGTCGATAATAACATACTACTGAAGATTACTGGGTTCTCAATAACCGGCGAGGATATGGCGGATGTATTACGTTCATTCAAAAATCGGAGAGATTTAGAAATATTGATAATTGGAGGCGTTCGCGGTCTGGGTGGTTCTGCAAGTATCTGGACTCCACTCTTGAAAAAACTGACGAAACTTCGGTGGTTACAGTTAAGTGATTGCTCACTGCAAAGCGCTGACATTGCCGCAGCATTAGGTCAATTACCAAACTTGGCCGCTCTCAATCTTTCAAAGAATTCAAACTTGGGTGGTAACGCCGGAAAATGGGCGCCTAGTTTGCAGAGGATGATTCACCTGAAAGCACTCGATTTATCCGAATGTGGCATAAATGAACAAGATATACCACATATTGCATCATCGGTTGGGGAGATGCCAAACTTGGCCGATCTTTACCTTTCACGCAATGAGGGATTGGGTGGTAACGCCAAGACGTGGGCGCCTAGTTTGCAGTCAATGACTCATCTGGAGAAGCTTGACATGAAAGCGTGTAGCATCAGCATTCGAGATTTGAAATATATCGCTGAATCAGTAAGTCGCATGTGGAATCTGGTGAATTGTGATTTCGGAAGTAACCCTAAGGAGTGGCGTGTACAGTCAGGGGATGATGGCATCAAGTTGAGCATCAAGAGGTTCTCACTTACTGTCAAGGCTTTGGCAGGTGTACTGCAGCCATTCAGTAATCGGAGAGATTTAGTCACATTGACCCTTGATGGTGGCGCTTGCGGTCTGAGTACCTTGGCCTCACTCTTGCAAAACCTGACGAAACTTCAGAAGTTAGAGTTTAGTGACTGCTCACTGCAAAACGCTGACATTGAACACATTGCTGCAGCATTACATCAGGTACCAAACGTGGCCGATCTCAATCTCTCAAAAAATTCGAACTTGGGGGGTAACGCAGGAATGTGGGCGGCTAGTTTGCAGAGGATGATGCACCTTAAATCACTCGATTTATCTTCATGTGACATAAATGAACAAGATATACCACATATCGCTTCATCGGTTGGGGAGATGCCCAACTTGGCCGATCTTAACCTTTCACATAACGAGGGATTGGGTGGTAACTCCAAGACGTGGGCGGCTAGTTTGCAGTCGATGATTCATCTGAAGAAGCTTGGCATGGAAGCGTGTTGCATCAGGAGTGGAGATTTGAAATATATCGCTGAATCAGTAAGTCGCATGGGGAATCTGGAGTATTGTGATTTCAGTAGTGACTATGGGGAATTGCTTGTACAGTCATTGGGTAATGGCATAGCGTTGAGCATCAAGACGTTCTCACTCACTGTCAAGGATATGGCGGATATATTGCAGTCATTCGGTGATCGAAGATATTTAGTCAGATTGACCATTGATGGCGTTTTCGGTCTGGGTGGATCCGCAAGTATCCGGACTCGACGCTGGCGAAGACGTATGGAACCTCAGGAGTTAGAGTTAAGTGATTACTCACTGGACAGCGCTGACATTGAACACTTTGCTGCAGCATTAGGTCAGGTACCAAACTTGGCCGATCTCAATCTCTCAAGGAATTCGATCTTGGGGGGTAACGCAGGAATATGGGCGGCTAGTTTGCAGAGGTTGATGCACCTTGAATCACTTGATTTATCAGAGTGTTGCATAAATGAACAAGATATGCCACATATTGCATCATCGGTTGGGAAGATGCCAAACCTGGCCAATCTTAACCTTTCACAGAATTCGAACTTGAGTGGTAACGCCGGAACGTGGGCGGCTACTTTGCTGTCGATGGTTCACTTAAAGAAGCTTGACATGAACAATTGTAGCATTTACAGTCGCGATTTGAAGTATATCGCCGAATCAGTAAGTCGCATGCGGAATCTGGTGGATTGTGTTTTCAGTAGTTACCCCGGGGAGTGGCGTGTACAGTCATTAGGTAATGGCATCAAGTTGAGCACCATGAGGTTCTCACTTACTGTCAAGGATTTGGCGGATGTACTGCAGCCATTCAGTAATCGTAGAGATGTAGTCAGATTGGCACTTTATGGCATTTGCGGTCTGGGTGGTCCCTCAAGTACCTGGACCCCACACTTGCAAAACCTGACAAAGCTTCAGAAGTTAGAGTTTATTGATTGCTCACTGCAACAAGCTGACATTGAACACCTTTTTCCAGCATTAGGTGAAGTACCAAACTTGGCCGATCTCGACCTTTCAAAGAATTCGAACTTGGGTGGTAACGCAAGAATGTGGGCGGCTAGTTTGCAGAGGATGATACACCTTAAATCACTCGGTTTATCTTCATGTGGCATAAATGAACAAGATATACCACATATCGCATCATCGGTTGGGGAGATGCCGAACTTGGCCGATCTTAAACTTTCAAATAATAAGGGATTGGGTGGTAACGCAGGAACGTGGGCGGCTAGTTTGCAGAGGATGATGCACCTTAAATCACTCGATTTATCTTCATGTGGCATAAATGAACAAGATATACCAGATATCGCATCATCGGTTGGGGAGATGCCGAACTTGGCCGATCTTAAACTTTCATATAATGGGGGATTGGGTGGTAACACAGGAATGTGGGCGGCTAGTTTGCAGAGGATGATGCACCTTAAATCACTCGATTTATCTTCATGTGGCATAAATGAACAAGATCTATCTCAAATTGCATCATCAGTTGGGAAGATGCCGAACTTGGCCAATCTTGGCCTTTTTTTAACTTGGCGATTGGTTGGTAAAGCAGGAACGTGGGCGGCTAGTTTGCAGAGGATGATGCACCTTAAATCACTCGATTTATCTTCATGTGGCATAAATGAACAAGATCTATCTCATATTGCATCATCAGTTGGGAAGATGCCGAACTTGGCAGATATTAACCTTTCATGGAATGAGGGGTTGGGTGGTCACGCAGGAACGTGGGCGGCTTGTTTGCAGAAGATGATTCACCTGAAATCACTCAAGTTATTGCAGTGCGACATAAATGCGCAAGATATACCACATATTGCATCATCAGTTGGGAAGATGCCAAACGTGGCCAATCTTAACCTTTCACAGAATTCGAAATTGGGTGGTAACGCCGGAACGTGGGCGGTTAGTTTGCTGTCGATGGTTCACTTAAAGAAGCTTGACATGCAAAATTTTAGAATTAACAGTCGCGATTTGAAATATATCGCTGAATCTGTTAGTCGCATGCGGAATCTGGTGGATTGTGATTTCAGTAGTGACTCTGAGGTGTGGCGTGTACAGTCAGGGGTTAATGGCATAGAGTTGAGCATCAAGAGGTTCTCACTTACTATCAAGGATATGACGGATGTGTTGCAGTCATTCACTAATCGGAGAGATTTAGTCAGATTGACCATTGATGGCGTTCGCGGTATGGGTGGTTCCGCAAGTATTTGGATTCCACTCTTGCAAAACCTGACGGACCTTCAGGAGTTAGAGTTAAGTGATTGCTCACTGCATTGCACTGACGTAGAGCACCTTGCTGCCGCATTAAGTCAAATGCAAAACCTGGCCGATCTTAACCTATCAGAGATTCGAACTTGGGTGGTAACGCCGGAAAGTGGGCGGCTAGTTTGCAGAAGATGATGCACCTTAAATCACTCGATTTATCCGAATGTGGTATAAATGAACAAGATGTGCTACATATTGCATCATCGGTCGGGGAGATGCCAAACTTGGCCGATCTTGACTTTTCACACAATAACAGATTGGGCGGTAATGTCAGAACGTGGGCGGCTAGTTTGCAGTCGATGATTCACTTACAGAAGCCTGACATAACACACTGTAGCATTTACAGTCGCGATTTGAAATATATCGCTGAATCAGTAAGTCGCATGCGGAATATCGTTGATTGTGATTTCAGTAGTTACACTGAGGTGTGGCGTGTACAGTCATTGGGTAATGACATAGCGTTGAACATCAGGAATTTCTCACTTACTGGCAAGGATACGGCGGATGTTCTGCAGTCATTCAATAATCGGAGCGATTTAGTCAGATTGACTGTTCATCGCATTTGTGGTCTGGTTGGTTCTGCAGGTATCTGGATCCCACTCTTGCAAAACCTGAAGGAACTTCAGAAGTTAGAGTAAAGTGATTGCTCACTGCAAAGCGCTGACATTGAACTCCTTGCTGGTCATTACGTCAAATGCAAAACCTGGCTGATCTTAACCTTTCAGAGAATTCGAACTTGGGTTGTAACGACGGAACGTGGGCGGCTAGTTTGCAGAAGATGATACACCTTAAATCACTCGATTTATCCGAATGCGACATAAATGAACAAGATCTATCACATATTGCATCATCAGTTGGGGACATGCCCAACTTAGCCCATCTTAGCCTTTTTTGGAATGAGGGATTAGGTGGTAACGCCAACACGATCGGGTGGTCACGCAGGAGCGCGGGGGGCTTCTTTTCAGAAGATGAATCACCTGAAATCACTCTATTTATTGGGATGCGACATAAATGGACAAGATCTATCACACATTGCATCATCGGTTGGGGAGATGCCGAACTTGGTCAATCTTAGCCTTTCATACAATGAGGGATTGGGTGGTAACGCCGAGACGTGGGCGGCTTGTTTGCAGAAGATGATTTACCTGAGATCACTCAATTTATCGAAATGTGGCATAAATTAGCAAGATCTACCACGTATAACATCATCCGTTGGGGAGATGCCGAACTTGGCCTATCTTAACATTTCAAGAAAATGGGACTTTGGTTGTAGCACAGTAACGTGGCCGGCTAGTTTGCTGAGGAGGATTCACTTTCATATGATAGATTGTCGCATTGACTGTCTCGATAGTTCCGCTGAGGAGTGTCGTGTTCAGCCATGCAATAATGGCATATCGCTGAGCATTCAAAGGCTCTTAGCATTAACGGGCAAGGGTATGGCGGATATTTTACAGTCATTCAGTAATCGGAGAGATTTTGTCAGGTTGACCCTTCGTGACAGTGAACTTCTGGGTGGTTCCGCAGAAATCTGGACTCCATCCTTACAAAACATGACAGAACTTCGGGAGTTGGATTTAATCCATTGCTCATTGCAGAGCATGGACATTGAACACCTTGCTGCAGCAGTAAGTCGAATGCCAGCCCTAGAATCCCTCAGCTTTGAGGGAAATAAATCTTTGAGAGGCTCTGTACAAACATGGGCTCGCTGCCTGAAACAGATGAAGCATGTTAGAAGCCTGAAATTGGGCTATTGTTCGTTGACAGAAGAAGATAAAAAACACATATACAAGGCATGCGGAACTGGAGTTGATTTTGAATCTGACGAGGAATGGGAAAGAGAGTCTTTTGAAGATGAATATGAATGGGAATGTGAATCTTCTGAATATGACGTGGAATGGGAAAGTGAATCTTCGACAAGATGTCAATGTATGTCTGCGCTGAGATAGATAAGTTATGTGATGCGCATGCCCAAGTAGCCTATAAGATGAGCGAGTACGAGTATATGATGCAATTTTGAAGTCAATTACATCCAGTAAGTCTTAAAGGCACAAATTGTTGTGAGAAACCTAGGAAACGCAGTATTCTACTGAATCCAGTCATTTTGTGTGAATATAATGTTTTACACGATAATCGAAACACTGTTGAAACGAACGGAGATATGATGCATAGGCCTATTCATTCAATAACTTTAAAACAAATGTTTATTCGTAATAAAGGTAATCCATTACTAACCGCAAAAAACACGTACATTTAAGAAGGGTATTGTTATTCATAATACACTTATTTAGATATTCGCGGAGACTGAAGCATTTCCACAATAAATTTTCAAAATTTTGGGAATAACATAAAACTTTCAAATTTTTATAATTTGTTTTACCAAATCACAGATGCAATCTGCAACTTCATTAGTCAAAATATTGAAGTCCCTTTGCCACGGATGTCAAAATGTTCGGATGTAGTTGTCATTGTCGGTTAAAAACGTCGGTGAAGGGCAAAACCTAATTTGATTTAATTTTGAAGTCGTTTGGATCGAGTCAGTCTCCAACTCACGTCTATGGTTCAAGTCAATTAAAAGCCCAAGTCACACGTGATGTAGTTGGAGTCAGAGTTACGGATAAGAGTCACTTTAATCAATCAATCAAACTAACCAAAGCAACGAAGCATTCTATCGAATCCAGTCATTTTGCTTGAACGCAGTGTATTACACGATAATCGAAACACGCGTAACAAGCTGAGAAAAGGCGCAATATTTCTTTCGAAATCAAGGTACCAATATATAACAGTGACTAATAGGTCAATGTATGTAAATATACACTAACTGAAATTTGGAAATAGTGGTTAGGTTCTGTTCATTGAAAAATTCTCAGATTTTCTCATTACTGAATCATCACAGCAGCCTTTAACTTCATTAGCCAAACTATTGAAGACCGTTTCTCACGGAGAAGTATTTTGCGGATCTCATAGTTTAAAAAAAAATGTTGAAAAGTTTCCTAAAATGAAAACATTGGAAATGGAGGTAAGGGCTATACAGACCGTGCAAGTATTTATCTTTCTGGAAACTTGTAGTGCATATCATTCTACACTTCAGAACTATCTTCAGTTTCTAACAAGGACAGTGGACCACTGATAATTCCGGGAAAGGGATCGTAACGCATTCTCCGTTCTCCTTGTGTGTACGGGTCGAATATTTGTTCCCGCTTCACAGATTTGACAGTAACGAATGTCCAACCTGCATCGACATTGTGACATTCATAGCAGCGTAATTGAGAGTTTAGTCCAATAATCGAGGATTTTTTCCAAATTAATCATAAAGACTGTAGATATAAGACTTTATCTCATACACTCTCTTGAGCAACGTACAATTAAGCTCTAAAAACTACACAACAAACGTGGTTTGACTGAAAATATAAAGGAATTAAATTTAACAAAATACAGTAACATTGAAAAGAGACTGCCGCTGTTTGAACAGGCAAAGCCTTGTTAGTGAACGGTGTAATAGAAATATTTTCAGCTGAATAAATGTATGTGTTTATCAGCGGGTTATGTCGCCGCTGAAGTGTTATAAGCCTGTTAAAGATTTTACTTAGTATGGAATATATTAGAATATTCATCTGTGGCACAATGAAAGTATGACATGGAATCAGTAACGAAGCTCAAGATTTTCCTGATAATGGTTCATGCTGTTTATAACTTGTACATGTCTTTGTATTACCAACTTTTTTTAATGAGAAATCGAACTGCAAGTTTGAAGTGTACATATTTTTACCTTTCATATTGTGCCACACAAGTTTACCACAACCGTTAATTTTTGTATGGGACTGATTCTAAAAAAAAAAGAGAAAAGTCTCTTGGATGAAAAGTTTACATACCATTCAATGTGTGTATTTACTTATTGGACAGACACCAATTAATACGGTTGGTATTAAATGTATTAAACTCCTTTTGACAGATACCCATATTGCAGCCAGTCCTTTTGATGCGATAACTGCGCATGTCATATTTACCTGTGGCTTCATTTCATAAGTTATATAATATAATACTTATATCAGATATTTAATATTAATGACACCAAATTTGTTCTCTGAACCATTTACTGTTAAAGTTCCACATTTACCAATTGTGTTGTGTAAGTGCATCTTATGTCACTGAGATGTCTCATTTTCACTTCAGAAGAAGTCAGATTTTGTTGGGTTAACACCAGGTTTTGTTAGAAATCGATATTGAAGAGAAGTTGGCATTGATTTTTTTTAAGCTGTTACAAGTTATGAATATTTACAAAGATGTCAAGGAAGCTGCGTCAGAGTTGAAAGTTATGCTTTCTTGGAAACTGATTAAAACAAAAACACTGTGCCTATATGTATCGCGAATTGAATATTTCTGTAAGCCTAGCTACTTTTACACGTTTTGAACATGATATTATATTTATCATTATGACTTGTCTGATAGTGATCATATTTAATTCACACAGTGTTTTTAATATTTTTTGATCAATCGTTTAACTCGATCTATATTCAAAGTTATTAAGGGGACGAATGATGATGATAACTAAATATGAAGCACAAACCAAGTGAAAGTTGAGTCATGATTGAGTGAGTCTGTAGATCATCCAACATGGCTTAGCAAGGTCTGATGGTGTGATACACGGGGAATATTTGTGAATGTTTTAACTTTGAAAAACTGGGTTTATTGAGCTTAAGTAACACATGTATTGACGTGAAAACATTGGACGTTTACTTTTCACAGTTCTGATTAATTGTTGTAACTTTGTTGTACTTTTAATATTGGATCCGGTTTACTGAAAATCATCAAGTATAGTTGATTTTCATTTGATAACAAATGTGTCTTTTTATTTGTTGCGCCGAGCTTTTCTCTCCCGAGAATCTGGGAGTTATTGTTACAACAGGTTTATTTGTTTGTTGAATATATCATTTAACGGGCATCCGTTTGGGTTTCGAAATAAACTTGTAATTATAACGTACCCACGTTTTCTCATCTTTGTTGTGATTCTACTGTCACCAAGTTTTGTCGTCTTGCTTGTTTATACATTAGTTGGTCGTTGAAATGGGGTGGTTGAGCTTTTAGTATTCGTCATTTCTAGTTATTATGATTAACAATCAGTCTACATACATCTTTCGTAACCCTTCATCCATATTCAGAGTTTGGTTTAACAACTGGTAACAGTCGTCTGCATCAGAGTGGAAACTTGATTGGACAGTCCGTGGTCACATGAACAACATTCCACATGTTAATACGCGTTATTTTTGGATAATTTCCCCGGTAAATTCACAGAAAGTATTACTGATCACGACAATTATACTGACTATGAGAGGTTGTAGTCTGTGCAACAACCCGGGTCAATGACTCCGTTTGGCTGCTACGGCAACGAGATGACAGGTAGACTGGTTCCCGCTCCGTTGGAGTTCAGAATCGTTGATGGAGGGCTTGGGAACTAGTCTAATTGAAAGGCCCGTACAGCCCACGAGCTCTGTGACGTTGCCACTATTGTTAAACTATTAGCATTACAACAGGTGAATTCTAACAGCGGTATGCGGAAGTATTAAACTTGGCCCATGCACTTCTATCCGTCCAGGATTTCGTGAGTTTTCCATGACTGTTTCTCCCCTTCTTCGATCTCCAT